TGAATGTGCCCGAACTTCGAGCTGCCCATGCCGATGTGCAGGAAGAAATCGTTTCACTGCAGAGCAAGCGAGCCCAAAGCCTCGTGGTGTTTCAAGCTATGACCACGCTGCGACACAGTGCGGCCTACGAGTCGTACACTACCGAGCAACAGGTATATGTAGTACGTGTGTACGAGGAGGAGTCTAGTGCAATCAAATTTTCCCACTATTACTGTAGGATATAGTTCCGACGACGACGACAACTAGTATGTACTAATGTACTAGGATGTGGTAGCGCATACTAAATCGAGCGATTCAACGAGCGACGTTGCGGGGCGTCAACCTTGTCGACAATGCCAAAGATCGCTTCAATGCGATTCTTGTCCGCCTCAAGACATTGGTACGAACTTGTACTATATATAAACTCGTCTTTTCATATATTATATATATATTCATTTTATATTTGTTAGAGCACCACACACGCCAACAACGAATTAGATGGCACGAGTGCTTATTCTCTCATTGTCACAGATCAAAGTCACCTCGAAGGCGTCCCGTTGTCGACCAAGTCGTTGTTGGCCCAGGTAATAAATATTTCCCATCATTCCCACAATACTTTTGCAAATAATCACACCCCAATATATATCTGCCCAATGAATATTTCGAAACTTTGGTTCAAAGTACTTCCAAGACTTGCTGTGGTTATCACCTATTTTGGACGTCTGGGTCAAACTGAAGTAACGAATGATTCACAGATATTGCCCACTGCGGATTTGTTCGAAATTGCCAACACATTGACGATTTTGGCCTTTTGTTTTACATATCCAAACTCACCGTACCTCTAAATATACTGATGAAAACGAATGGATTTGAATGCTATAGAATGCTGTGGCGGCCGGCCACGTCGGAGCAACCAGTGAAAACGGCCCGTGGAAGCTATCGCTCGAGCTCCCTGTATACAACCCCGTGATGAAATTCTGCTCGAACCGATCGATTCGAGAAACGCTGTGGCATGCCTTCAACGTCAAGGCCAACGCGAACGAACTTGTGGTGGTGGAGATGCTACAGCTCCGCCACGAGCTAGCCCAATTGCTTGGGTTTGCAACGTTTGCAGAGCTGAGTTTAGCCAACAAAGTCGCGCCGTCCGTCGACGCGGTGCTCGACACGCTCGAGGAGTTGCGGGACAAGGCACTTCCACGTTCGCAAGCTGAGCTGCGTCTGCTCGAAGAGTTTGCAGCTAGTCACGACCATCCATTGCCCCTGCAGCAGTGGGACATTCCGTATTGGTAAAACACTTCCTTTTTTAGTCACATCCAATATATATATATAATAAGAGCACTAGTTACAAATGAAATCATTGGTGGATACATTATAGGATGGAACGATTGCGAGTGGAAAAATATGATATTGACGACGACGCGGTCCGCCAATATTTTCCCTTGCCCAAGGTAATCATCACACAACGTGCTACGGTTACTATATACTCACATCCATATATTATATATAAAAAAGGAAGTGTTAATGATGAATTATACATTATAGGTGCTGGACGGATTGTTCGACTTGGTGTCGCAATTGTTTGCCATTCAAATCGAAGTACGTACTGAACATGTTGTTCCGATTGAAATTGGGTCACTTGACTATTGTACGATGTAGGCAGCGGATGGCTTGGAAGAAACGTGGCATCCTGACGTACGTTTCTTTCAAATTCGAGCGATGGACCAGCCTGAAACGCCCGTGGTGGCCCAATTCTTCTTGGATCCGTATGCTAGACCCGGCCAAAAGCAGCAGGGGTCGCTTGTGGAGGCGGTGGTTAGTCGCAGCAGAGTCCTCCGCACTGCCAAAGCCCCCGTGCGACTTCCCGTGTTCTCGATTGTGCTGAATCAGACACCTCCAGTACGGAATTAATCTATATATTAGATATATATATCCATCCCCCTTCTATCTGTGTGTTTCGGCTACACTTTCCTTTTTGTCAAGATTTATTCCTTTTGATTCGTATGGAGTGTTGGTTTTCTACCGTATTCGTATGTTCGTTAATCTGCACCATGAAGTATATAAATTAAATGTGAATATAATACGATATCTCAATGTAATGTCGAATCAATTATACAAGTGAAATAATTAAATAAATTGTTCAAATTTCATGACTTTATACGGTAATTTGATGTACAGGTAGATATAAATAAAATATATACTAGTAGTCTGTATGGATCTAACAAGCACGACACATCTAGGTGGGGGACACGCCCAGCTTGATGACGTTTACCGACCTGGCGTTGCTGTTTGGGTGTGTGGGCATCGGGCTGCGCATTGCGCTCACGTCGGCCGAGTATACGGCTGCGTCGGGGATGGAAGGCATTGAAATGGACGCGCTCGGGATGCCAGTGGCGATGATGAAGCGATTTTGCTACCACAACGGTACGTATATTCCATTACAAAGCACAAATTGATCATTCGGCCAAATTTGGACTATTACGGTGATTTGCTTAATTCATCGATCGATTATATGTACTGAATTTTGTATGTAAAAACATGTTCAGCGGTGATACCCATGATGCTAATATTGTGCTTTCAACCTAAATTCGGTATTTTCGGTAGATTCGACGAACGACTTCAAATCCACGTGAAATCGTCGAGACGTCGTTTTATCTACAAATTGATTGTCAAAGGTTTTATTTCGATATTTTCATTGGCTACTTTCGTCGAGTATTGCATCGATTTTGCTTCGTCGATTCGATTTACAGCCCCAGTCCATTTTGAAATCAAATTACCAATATAAGTCACATTATTACTTGTTGATGGGTTGAACCGATGATGTCCTGCATTGTGGTTGGCTAAATTCTTCTGCCGATCCTTCTGCACATTTGGTTGCGTCGATATATACATTCGGCACGTCGCTCCATTTGTGAATAATCACAACAGTGTATTATTACGATACAATACAAGTATTAGTATATCTGTGGTTGTGCCCAACTGGACTAAATTTGTAGTTTGGATTGGCAGAAATTCGATAGGGGGACGTGATTTGATAGGCTTTGGCGGGTCGTCTGTGGTCCCTTTCTCCTCTCAACACATTCGATTCTGCTGACGGCTCCAGTTTCGAATCGATTGGACAATATATATCGTCACCATGTTATTTTGTATGGCGAGTAGACTTAATCCAGAGCATTTCGAGCCATTACCAAACCCACCAGCCCCTTCCACAAACGGACTTGGACAAGATTGTCGCTGCCAAACGATTCATGGCGGGCACGACACTAACACGGCAGCTCAGCTTAGCTGCCATAGATCTGTCCGTGCATCACCATCATGGAACCTCGGCCACGATTACTGCCGACTCGACAGACGCGCTGGTGGAAAAGATCAAACATGAGTACGTACAGTATTATATTTATTCTAGACATGTCCTTTTGATTTCGATGAAATAATACATTAGTCTATTACTGCGGACTACTACAGTATTAGTACTTACGAGAAATAATATATATATTTATTGCTGCGGACTACGTACTAGGTTCAGTGCCTTGCCCAAGGTACATCCGGCGCGGGACTACATGCTGTGCCATTTTCGGCATATCTTTCACGGCGAAGTGGAGGCTGCGTATTACATGTACTATATTATTATTTATGTTGGAATATTTATACTATTTTAATAATCGCAGGTATGTCTGGTCTGAAATCCAAGCCCACGACGCTTATGCTTGCTTTGAAGACACACAAGGCGACCTCCCCGCTTGGAAAGCCACTGGCAAGCGGTTCCGAGATACGATCTTGGCCCTCTCGGGAGTCCTCCACCCCACAAAGGCGTTTGAATTGTTTCGAGGTCGAAAACTGCACACACATGCAATGCTGGAGCAATACGGGCTGCTATAAGAGTATAATATCCGACATTCATACTTGGTCGTTCGTCTTCGACTGTCCGTGTAATTATGCAAAAAGCATGTCAAGGGGTGGATGTGACGACGGCTCCTTTGTAAATCTGTAGCCTCGGCAAGAACAATCGTAACGTACAACGTTAAACGATATACCAATGGACGACGCACTCGGAGTACTGTGGTTAAATATATAATGTGAAGCAAATCTGGTGCCATAGCTTTTTTCATACTCCGGACGAGTCAACACAAGGATGAGGGAATCACAGGGAGAAATCGGGGAGACACACATGTGTATTAGACCTCTTGACGAATGATCAAACCTCTATTCAATGGCCAATTACATTACGTACACCCATGTGTTCTTGGATGGACTTTCATGACTGGCCAGTCATCCGGATATTTATATGACCGAGTCATTTTGCAGCGAGTGTCCCTCGATCATCGCGTGTACGGTTAATGGTTTATCAGTCATTCACTATTTTCGGAAATCACTCGATGATTTCCAAGAACACTGATTGGTCACAAGAACGTTCAGTAATCTCCTAATATACCCCGAAACCCCGCAACCCCGAAACTCCGAAAATAGAACCTAAGGTGAACTTCATCAGAATCTCATGACAATTGAAGTCATGCCTGTGGATGACAGTGGCGGTGATTATACTTTGGTGAAAACACGAAATTGACCAAAACACGACAGTTGTGAAGCATCCCTCACAATACCTCATTACGAATCGAAATAGACTCCTCAGACAACAACCACATAATTTGTCGACTTTGCGAGTGGCATGCATTAATAGACCTCCTGATCGTAGACTTCATTGTTGTTACTGATCTCAAGAATATCACGAAAAAACGAAATGGCACTTGGTTACATCTTACAGGATTATGCAAGGCGTGCTTACAGTCATGCACTGACTGGGGTCTATTGGGTTTTGCAACGTGGTAACGTGGTGGAATCAAAAATGGGTGCATTTTAGGATTTTGTTCGACCTAGGCATGTGCACTGAATTTGTGCAATTCTGACAAAGTTTTAGTCAAATGTAATTAGTTTTTTTAGTTAAAGCTCGCCCGCCACACATCATAGAATTACCTTACAAAGTAATGCAATTAGGAACGGAATTCGGATTTCTTCAATATTGACCATTAGAAATACACCAATCTCTTTTTGGAAAAGGGCCACTACATAATCGTGTTTTGATTCCGTTCCTCTATAATTGCATTCTTTGGATATCAAGCATAATGTCACATCCATCCCTCCAAAAATATCCAGCTCCAATGGATATTTTGGCGGCACTGCAGCGTCTTCCTTGTTGGCCGCCGCCCACTTGCGAAATACGACTGTAATGTCGTCCACCAAATTCGACGCAGGTTCCCTGGACGATTCTTCGTCGTAGAGTCCAATCCACTTCACCAAAACTTGGGGTTGTCCATCCACGAATCGCGCTTCGTGCAGGCGCTCCACGTGAAATCGGCCCATCGCCAAACGCGATCTGCGCCTCAAGGTCTTCGGTCACCTCTCTACCACCTTCGTGGTACATCTTCAGCCGGCACGCATAATGGACCGTGAGTTCATACGTTAGCACTAGCTGCTGAGTCTCCATCACATGGTCTGTGATGACTGTTGTCACTTTATAGTGTCCGCGCCAATGCAGGGCTAATTTTGTCGGACGGTAGACGACCGATCCGACGAGCACAAAATCGCCGAACGAAAAACCGGCAAATTTGACTTGGGACTTTCGGTCGCGACGTCCATGCGCTTGCTGACGCAACTTGTGGCTTCGAAACGCCACCTTGCGATGCATTTCTTCAAGCGCCTATTGGGGGCCCGTCACATGTTTCTAACGGGCGGCGCCAAGACAGTCCTCGACGTTAACTTCCTTGGCCGTCGGGTGGACAAATCCTGCCAGCGGGACTTGGCTGGTAGGCCAGAAAACGCTGTCACAGGCGCAAGTCTACCCAGCCGGTCCGCCGGCTGATGGTTGAGGGCGCCTTTAACGAGGGGCAACACATGCGGCCATTCATCCGCGTTCAGCTTCATTTCGCTGAGAAGCGCCTTCACGGCGCGCAGCACTAGTCGGTTGACTACTTCTACAGTCCCGTTCGCCCAAGGACTGTTGGCTGTCGTGATATGATGGTGGGCACCCACCAACTTTTGCACTTTCTCGATCACTTCGTTCTTGAAGTGAGAACCGTCATCTGGCACCCATGTGTCAACACAGCCGAACGTGGTAAACCTTGGAATCAGGCACTGAGCAGTCGCCGCGGCATCAGCGAACTCTACCGCGAACCACCAAGGCACTCAGTACCGTCCGGACGGTTTCTGCCGATCGTTCTCCCACGCGTCCATAACAACGAAGCTCCACCCCCGGCTGAAGTACACCTCCACTTTCATCACTGACTTCCCCAGTGGTTTCTTCCTTTGCCGACGGCTTCGGCGAATTCCGCACCAATCAGCTTGCTGCCAGATGCCGTCCAAGTGCTCACGTCATGCTCGTGCGTGTTCTGAGCGTTGTCTTGCGCTGCTCCGCTTCTTGTCCAGTTCCTCGTCTTGTCCAGTTCCTCGCCGCCGGGTTTCAAGCCTAGGACCCGACACAAGGAGCACAGCTCCATCATCGATGTCGTTTGGCGGTGTTCGTTGTCCAAAAAGATGGTCGGCCTCATCTTCCTCGCCCTCGCTCACAGTATCCAGCACGGCAGCCCTGTGAAGCTCGCCGTCGTTGAAGTACGGCAGACACTCGCTTGAGTGGACGAGAATTGAAGTCCCATTGTCCCGACACACTCCACCCGCCAATTTTCGAAGCCAGCGTCCGCGGAACCGATGCTTCAGTTTGCTGGTGCCCTTGTCGCGCCAGTCGCGTGCGATCCAAACCCACATGCCCGGTCGGAGTTTCATCCGGTCGCGTGGACCCTTGTTGTAGTGTCGTGCCGTCTCTTCCTGTGCAGGGGCCAAGGTCGATTTGGCGATTGCACAGATCCGTGTGAGTTTGGCCACGAACCGCCGATTCCAGACGGGTATTGATTCTACGATTGGTGCCGCGGGGAATTGCAGGTCGAGTACGGACTTGCCCACGCGGCCCATCATCAATTCCATGAGTGGAAACCCGTGGGTGCCATGGGTCGCTGTGCTGTAGGCGTATGTGAGCGTGGCCAACCACTCGTCCCAGTCGTTCTGCGTCGGAGACACATCGATGGCGACCATGTCCTTGATGGTGCGGTTGAACCTCTCCACCAACCCCATCATAGCGGGGCGGTAGGCTACTGAGTGCATTTTCTCGACT